AGATGCAAAGTCCAATGGACCACGCCACATTCAGACATTTTGCTAATATGATTTTGATTTTGGTGGCCGGCATTAGAATGCCATTAAGTTGTCGGTTTGTTGGTTTTCTTTCCAACGGGGCTTACACACTGTGATTCTGGCGCGTCGATTTGCACATGAGACGTGTAAGCGATGCATAAATTATGCATCTGTTGCACAAATGTGCTTATGGGGCAGGCCCCAAATGGAATACTTCGGGGCGGGGAAACAGATCCATGGAGTCTGGGCACTTGCTGCCGTCGGGTTGTCATTTCCTGTCTCGAAAGCCCTAATTAAAGAGTTGAATAAAGTACTGAGGAACGGGACTGATTAATTGTTATTGAGATTACAGTCCAAGCTAAATGGATTCAGGAGCTAAAAGAAATAAATATGTTTTGTTTATTCTCGGCTGAATCTTGTAATTATTTTATTTGTTTAATAAACAACACATTCGGACGGATTGCCCATCATTTTTTCTAATTTTTCCATTCCGACTACTTAAATCCGACAATGCTGGCAAGTGACTGGTAAAATTGTCTCTTAAGCTTACCTTAGCACTCTTTTCCTACAGTTTTACTTGGCTAATTTTACCTAATAGCGATTTAACTCCCCCAGCCTTGATTTCAACCAAAAAGTCCCTGTTCGAGACCAGCTTTGAGTTTTGCCTTTTTGATTTATGGCCCCGAAAAGTCGCGCACGTACTGCAACTAGTTCGCCCCCTCCCTCTCAACCACCCCCCTTTGTAACCTTCTAGTCATTGTTTGTTGAGACAAAGTAGCGTGCGAGCAGGGAAAACAACTGCAAACGGCAAAAAATGTCTGCATTCTACAATTGCGAATTGCAATTTCCATGGAACGTAAATAGAAGCTATTTAGCAAAATGTGCACGAAAAACAAAAACAACTACAACTACAAGGGGCACCAGCATCCCATCTGAAAAGATACAGCCAAAAGGGGGCGAGGTAGGGGACTGGAAGGAGAGTGGAAAGGGGTACGTCAGCTTTGCTCCGTTTTGAGGTCAATGTACAAAGCATGCAACCAGGCAGCATTTATTACGACTTAATGCGCTCCCTGAGGGAAATCGGGGGACTTCGGTTGAGATGGGGACCAGTGGCGGTAGGTAGGTGCAAGGGCAGGCTCTAATTTCGTGTTTAAACTGCTTTTCACACAACCACTTATACACGCGAGGGCATGGGAGTGGTTGGTTGTTGCCCACAAAAGTAATATTATATATAAAATGAAAACATGAACAGGATGATTTTGAGTTCAAAAACAAAAGGGTGTATACCCATTTCCACAAAAAATTCACTCTCAATATAGGCATTATAAAGAATATTGAATTCTGGAAATACAATCATCCATCATTTAAATACAATGTTACCTAAAATTAATCGCACATCCTTAAAAGCAAATAATTACGTTTCTACTTAAATAAATCGTAAGGCCGATTTTCTGACGTATCCGAAATAAGTTTTTTTAACCGTAACTTATGCTGTATTCGTTAAAAGGTAGAAGGAAGCGTTTTCGACCATATAAAGTATATATACTTAAAAAAGAAGATTTTAGAACCTGAGATCTTAGGGCTAAGTAAAAAGTAAGTCAGTTACGTATGTTGAAATATACAAAATACAACAATCTGAATTCCATTTACAGGATACAAACAAATTTAATATATTAAATAATTTTCGCATTTTGAGTAGATCAGGAGTGGGAGATCAGCCCTTTCCGCTTTAGGGTAACTCAACAAAAAAGGAACAAAAACAACTTAAGAATGCGGAGAACAAGTTGAAAAAAAGCTAAAGGGGATGGACAGCAAGAGGTGCAACAAAGACAGTCTAAAAGCATTGGCGGCAGCTAAGACGGGGTTCAGATACAAGCAAATGGTTGGAAACAGCGACAAAGAACCAACACTCTTGCCTGACTACTGAAATGGACAAATAAAACGGTAAGACAAAACAAACAAAAATAAAAGTTTACAAGCTTTATTTCGATATAAATTAACAATAAAACCTGAAAAAAAATACATATATGTAATAATATAACGGATAAGCTGATCATAAGAAAATCAAAATATATTATAACAGAACATTATTTGATTGCCGTACTACTAATTGTCAAGGTTGATTATAAAAATGATTTTAACATTATTTGTTTATTATTTTAAGGCCAACTTTTGAAAAAAAAACTTTAGACAAGAACTTAAAAGTTCGCCTACATTGAAATCCGTATTCGACTGGAGGACAAAGCGATTTCCGTCTTCTAAGTGATGGCACTTAGTAGCACTTTTTGGCTGACCATGTACTTGAATGCGACTGCTGTCCCAAATGTTGGCCAAAAACGAAAGTGCAGCTTTGGCCCATTAACTTGGCTAACTTGCATAAAAGTGCAAAAAAGGAGCCACCGAATGGCAATGCCAAAATGGCAAATAGCATTAGAAACACGGCCACAAAAACACGAAAAAAAACCTAGCAATCGCAACTTATTATATTACACTTTCAACGTCATCGCTCGATGTTGCCGCTGTCATTGCAATTGCATTTGCAATTGCTTTTGCTGTTGCTGTTGCAGTTGCTGCCGTTTCGGAGTCACTTAAACGAGATAAATCAACGTGGGCGATTACACAATATCTCAGGGTGATTGTCTCCCCCGAGTGCCCCTGCCCGCTGTGCATGACTTGGCAAAAGTGCAACTGCAACTGCAACAGCAAACAATCAGCAAAAGCAAAAGAAAAAGCAAGAGCAAAAGACTCGCGCCATTGGAGCAGTGGGTCGCACTTGGGGTCTTGTGGAAATATGTGGAAAAACGTGGAAAACCTGTAAGACAAAAGTCGACAAAATCAATAGCACACACACTAGCTCACGCGGGCGACACAGCAAATAAACAAAAATGATGACAGCAATTGCAGCAGCAACAATTGCTGGTGCTGAAGTAGGCTGATGTTGTATTTTCAGCTTTATGAGCGATAATTAAAGTTAAATGCCTTTGCTATGAAGCTGCGGATGTTACTTGTAGCTGCTAGCTCTACTCATATACGTACACATATACTTTTTGTATAACCCTACAATTTGTTTTGTTTTCTGGAAAAAAATAAAATTTTAATGACTTCTTTTCGTGAAGTACGAATGCTTTTTTGCTGCTCATGCTCTCTTGCAGAAGCCAGAGCGAGCCATCGGATCGAGGTCAACAAAAAAAATTAAATATGCCAGAGACAATAAGTGGATCGAATCCAAATTAAGCAGAAAACGCATGTTTAATTAACCCATCGATGTAGTTTAAGGATCTTTGCCAAAGTGCAAAAGCCAACTTCACAACTCTACGAAGACTTAGTGCAAGTCAAAAGCGAGCCAAAATAAAAACAAGTCCGGCTGAAAATAAACAAAATCATGGAAAACCAAAAGCAACAACACAATTTCATGTTTTGTGACGACATACACACACAAAACAAAAAAAAAATAAATAAATCAAAAAGAGTTCAACGACCAAAAGCTTAAATGATTTCCGACTGCCAACGGAGAGGAGCAACGACAACATCACTCACCAGCCGACGAGAAGACGCGATCTTTGGGGGAGTGGACGTTGATGGGGCCAATTGACAAAACATTCACGAAGCGTCAAACATGCTGATACAGATACAGAATAGCCGCGATAATAGCGCATAGATAGTATTTGATATTTTTGAAAGCTAAACTAGGAAATTTTTAAAAATAGCGCGACGTGAACCTTGACTAACTTAAAATCAAAAACCAATCAAACTCCTCCAGCACATTCAAGTTTGATGTTCCATTTGGCCCGACAGAATATGCACTAGTATCTGCATCTATATCTACATCATTGCAGCCAGGAAGCCGCCCACGCGCCGCATATTGAAATCAGCAGCTACTGGGGCTCATCAGCCGCCATTTGCGGCTGATAAATGAACGCATGTTGAGCTTATCTGCCAGATACAAACGCCTGCAGTCCGGTGCGGCCTTTGCTTTTCCTTTGTTTCCATACTGCGATGCGAATTTTTAATGAGCGGAAATTAGTTGGCATTGCGGCAAGATGTTTTTGTGGCTGCCCATTTAAGTGGATACAAATGTATCTGTAAGCCATAAAATCACAATCTATGAGGCACGTGCCTAGTGGGCTCTTTACAAGACCGGATTCTCACAGGTATGTAGGAGTATGTGCAATTATCGAATCGATTGCTTGTCAGATAAATTTTACGCAAATCGGTTCATAGTTGGGTTAGGGATTTGATTAATACATTGATTACGGCCTAAATGGACTGCTATTTGTGGTTACGGGATAAGTGTCTTGGAAATCACATTTTTCGCTCACTTGTTGGGAGTGCCGGGTGCTTGTATATTTAGAATATCCCGTTTTAGCTCAGACTTCGTGCAGCCTGCCAGTTCCCAGATACACTCCTGCATTTAAGTCTTCAGCCAGCAAATATGCCTAAGATATGTATTTGTCATCTTGCATTTTTGGGGTATTTAATGACCGCCCATATAAAGTTGAAAATAAGTATGAATATTTACAACGGTGATAATAATATTCAAACTATAATATACATTATCTACTTTATAAGAAATATATATTTTCTAAAACATTGAAACAAACTTGGCAAGAAGATCATTAACAAACACATCAGCACCACAATAAGTCCCTAAAAGATACATTTGTTGGAAATGAAGAGTACAAATAGAGGTCAGGTTTTTATTGGCTTATATTTTAGTATATGCATGAAATATACTAAAAAAAACTCTAGAATATTACTTCTAGTTAAAACAAAAATGTAGCTTAACAATAACATTAAATTCAATCATACTTTAGGCCCCTAATGCCCCTAAAGAAGTTCAAGTTTGAGACATTAGACATTATTAAAGTTTCGATATTGAACGCATATTTCAACATCTGCCTTAACCAGTGAGTTTTTACAATCAGAGCCGTTGCTGCTAAATTGTACACCATTTCCGCATTATAGTCGCAACATGCACTCACCTGTCTGATGATTCCGATGAGTCGTATCGATCCAGACACCGCTTCTTGGATCCCTTCGTCCCGCGTTCTCCTCCAGTTGCTCTGGATGCTGTTGTTTTGCCAGCTCCCACTCGAGTTGTTGTTGCTGTTTTTCTGGAGCCCTGATAGAGCTGAGATCGCAAAGCGTTTATATCCAATTTGTCTGCTTGGGCACCAGCACTGCCTCCCAATCCGCCTGCCCCACGTTTGGTGCCCAGCACGATGCCAATGCTGCTGGGCGAACTGAATGGTCGGGCGGGCTTTGCCGGAGGTTTCAGTTCAATATTTAAGGACAGAGAGGGGGGGATGGGAGGTGCAGGGGATGGTAACTGTGTATTGGTGGGTGTGGCAGCTGTTGTAGGTGGTATTGCTTCTGCGTTGCTGTTGTTGCCGACGCCGGCGCCAATTGTCAAACTGTTTAAATTGACGCTGTTTTTCAGCTGATCAAACAATGACAAAGTCGCGCCAGAGATTAAAGTTTTCTTTCCCGTTGCTGCTGCTGCTTTGGCGGTTGGAAGGCGTAGCTGAGTTTCAACTCCTGCTGGTGCTATTGCTCCAGATGCCGATTCTTTAGTCATTAATGCCGTATCCTTTGGCTGAGTGGCTGACATATTCCCTCACTTTATTCGCTGTGTGCCTCAGAACTATTTCCCTTGTCTTAATGCTGTGACGATGCGCTTTATTGCTCTAAAATGCCATTACTCCTGATCCCCTGTGCCACAAACGTGCTGTTTTCTATTATTTTATTGTAAGTTGACGGAAAGGAAATTTTAATTGCTTTAATCGGAAAGTTTACTGTCAGCAAGTCTAGGCCGCGTTGCCTTTAAATGGTATTACCATTCCGATTTTCCCCATCAGCTTGCAGAAATTGGTATTTAAATTTCGCCATGAACTTGCATTTTTCCATCTTTTGTGGGTCGGGCTCTCGAGTTACGAGTGGTGGAAATATTTATACGAACTAAACAGGAAATCATTTAAATCAATTGCATTTTTGGGCTTCTCGCATGTAGCTGCACTTCACTGCTGCACACTTTTTCAATTGGATTTATATTTCAGAAGAAAAATCACTTGATCAGCATTTAATTAATAAACGTTGCCCGATTAATTTTGATTTTGCGGGCGGTTGTTGGATTTTGGGCACCGTTATAAAGTGTTTCACTATGCTTTACGGCTTGGTGAATGGCTGATTGTTATTTCGTTCTCGGCTGTTTCCGGTGAGCACCCGAAACATATTCTGCAAGACTGGCAAAAACGCGAGATTCGCAAGTTAAAGAAAGCGGCAATGAAACCGAAATTGTAAACGGGTAAGTCAGGTTAACCGGTCTTAGCCGTTGTGTTTGCGAGCCAGCTTTTGTTTAATGACAAAAATGGCAGACCAAACAAATCGCAATCTAATCAAATGCATTCCACTGTGCCACTCACTCGGCAAACTAGTGCTTAGCCTATCACGGGGCCAACTTGTCTAGCAAGCATGCTATTTATAATTAATGCAGTGGCTCGCCCGCTACTGCCTTTAATTGCCACCAATTGCCGTGTAACCAAATTAAACAAAGTCAAAGAAGCGCTGCACTGCGAATTGCGAATTCCGGAACCCCATCGATTGACAAGCGAAAAACTGCGATCTCCACACGAAAAAAGCTGCGGTCTGCTCTTGCTCTGCCTACCGACTGACTGGCGAGTGGGGCCGAGTGGAGTGGGACTGGGCCGAGAGCCACAGCCCCACCCGAAGTCACAGCCGACGAAATTGGAACCTACGGACCGAGTGCCAGCCGAATGCTTTAGCCAACTAGAACTGGGCACAAATCAAGATACGAAGCACGCGACGCAAGAACGAAGGCAACGAACTGCCGTTCGTTTTTATTTGGCTTCCAACGATGGAAACTTAGGCGGGGGGAGTGTTCACTTTTGATTTCTGTGCAGCGGCAGCAGGTTTTTTATGGAACTGGTAAGAGAGGGCGCGTTGGGGGAACTGGGAGAGCTTGTTGCGCCACAATGTGTTTTTTTCTGTGTGTGTGTGTGTACGTTTGAACTTCTGGAGAAGTTCAGCAATTCTGAATTTCGGTATTTCAGCATTTGCTGGTTTGCTAGCTGGGCAGTAACTTCCGATGTGTCCGCGGCTGTTTGAGTAGGTGGCAAGTTCACATACACATAGTCACGGACTGCGCTGCAGCTACCTGTTGATGTGTGTGGGAACTAATCAGAATACCAGAGGTTCCTGCGGTTTGGCAAAGCTCGAAACCGGTTCGCCCAACCGAGCATAATGGTTATAATGGGAACTTGGACTCGAATTTAAAACCAAACACAGATGTGTGGACAGTGTGCAGCTCTACCCAATGCCTTGGGTTATTCTGTTATAGTCCACTCATTTCATAAAGCTAAAGACTCAAAAATAAAAACAAAAAGCACGAGGCTCATAAAGCTAAAGGTTCAAGAATAAAAACAAAAAGCACGAGGCGTGCATGGAAAAAAATAAAAAAGTAAACAAAGCTAAGGCAAAACCCAAACAATAACAAATACAATCCAAAATCGCAACTGTTATCAAAAACCGAACATCAAAGAGAGAGAGAGAGAGAGAGAGAGAGAGCGATCGAGAGGCGGAAGGAGAGAGAGATCAGTGTTCTCACACAACAAAGCAAAGAGCAAAGTCACGTCACGATAGCAGGGAGGTGACAAGGAAGATAGCGCAAAGGTGGGAGCGAGAAATCAAACACAACACGTGCTTTTATTACGTTACAAGCGAGTGTGCGTACGTGTATGTGATGCAACTGTGCGAGATTGCAAAAACGGGTGGGACAAAGACGGAGCATGCTTACGAGAGCTTCTGCGTGTGTGTGCGGGAACGATATAACTCGTTTGGTGTTTGATATTTCGGTTCTTATTGGAACTTCTGCAATGCATTTAACAAGTGGCCATTATTATATTATTCATTTCCGGGCTTACATAACTTAACACTATACAACATTAATCCGTTCATATGCCGTTTGAGGCATGCAAAAAATGTTCAAATCGAATATTAAATACGCGAAACGCGTATGCACTGCGTGAGAGAGAGAAGAAAACTAAGTTTTGCATTTGGGAGTGCATTTTCCGCAAAGCTATTTGGGTGCAGCAACCGAAGAGAGAGAGTGAAAAGGCATATAAAACAAGAAAACAGCAGGATGCGGTTAAGTTTGTTTAGAATTAAAAGAAGCTTATCATACATATGTATATTATTTCTCTTTCGAAGTACACATATACAAACTAATTAAAATCAAAAATTAAATAAAATCAGCAACATGTCACCCAGCAACAGTTGTCAAAGCTACATACATTTTTCTGACACATGTTTCCAGCGCTAGCAGAGCAGTTAACAGTGATCTCTACCATTTATAGCGGTCAGCTTTAGTCAGTAAGCAACCCGAATCCCTAGAGTTGCCTTTTTGGCTTTTTTTTAGCTAAAAGTAAAAATATTAAAACGATAATATATTTTTAATATTAAATGCGAAAAGTTAAATTAATAAAAATAGTTAGGATTGTATTAACTTTATAAAAACGAAAGATAATTAGAATTCAGAAGTTGTGTTAGGGCTTTCCACCTAGCACCTTTTTATGATTTAATTCTTCCGGATCAGCGAAAATATGTATCTAAAAGTTAAATCAAAATATATTTAGGAAGGCGAACACAGGATGAGATGTAATAGAGTGAGCTTATTCTCGGCTTTAAAATCAAGAAAAAGAAAAAGCTATAATGTTTCTAAAAGTTAAATAAAAATATATTTAGGAAGGCACAGTATGAGAAGTCATAAAGTTAGCTTATTCCCGTCTTTAAAATCAAGAAAAACAAAAAGCTATAAGATACCACCTACTCTATTTTATCTTACATTTATTGGTTTGTTACATATTCCTTACAAAATTCTTTAAAATCCTAATGGTTTCCCACTCAACCAAGATTAGTTTGTTGGTTAAGTAAGAAGTTATTCCTGGACGTTTATGAAGTAATTGTAATATAAAGTAATAATAATAAAGGTTGACTTTATCAACAGCCAAAAATTGTTCCTTACGTATTGTTTTTGGATAAACTTAAAGCTCATGTAGTGTTAGATGCATTAAAAAAAATAGAAGTTCGACAACTTTACATGCAAAAATAATAATTTTAAAAGAAGTGACGGACACAACTTTGGGTATTTCTTTCTGGGCTTTAAAAAAAAGTATGTAAAATGTATACATCGATAACATTGTATCCTCTGCATCCACAATAGATCATTACATTTTTACAAAATTGTACCTATGTATGTATTTCTACCCAAAAAAAATGTAGAATGCTTTCATTATAATGAAGAGTTAAATTATATTAAGTGATGTGTTTTCAATATACATATTACTGAAACAAGAACAAAATTTAAATAATATTCCACATCATAGTTAAAAATGTATTATGTCAAAAATATACACGTGCCTCCTGCTCTTCTTAAAAGTTACATATGTGTATCTGAAGCTGGCTGACTCGCAAGACATCGCTCTCGTTCCTTTTATGTATTCACTACACTGTCTAATTGTTTCTTTATAACGTATTCGTAGATACATTAGGTGCAAGCTTATGCTTTAATACCTCGAGAAATGTTTAATGGAATTTAAAATGTAATATCTCAAATGAAATAAAACAAAACAAATTAATAAGTTTTAACTTAAATATTAGATAATTTCCTTCATAACCCATGTTACGCACGTAAATGACAATCAAGATGACGAAATCGATGAATTATTATAACTAATGCTTTATAATAACACATTTAATACGATTATTGTTCACATATAAAAACAAGAAAAATTGCTATAGTCGGGTGCCGCGACTATAAGATACCCGTTACTTCTTTATATATTTTTAAAATATTCATCTTGCTAGTGGAAATTCACATAGCGCCACCTTTTGTCAGAAAAAGCATGTTGAGTAACTGATAGTGACGTCACAAACCATGTGAGGCCTCATAACCTACATTCCTTCATAAATAGCGAAATAGTATTCCGATTTGAAAAATCTTTGGTAAATCGATAGATATTGACAAAAAAGTATTATACAAGGTCAAACGAATTTATTTATTGTACTATTACGGACGCCAAAGTTTTCCGCTGTTTGTGGGCGTTAGAGGGGGCGTGGCCAGATGAAAACTCATGTCGAGCTGCAGTGGCATGTCTATATACATATTCCCAGGCCTAACTTTCTATATCTTATAGTTTCCGAGATTTTATAATTTTTGGTTTTCCGGGTTTTGTGGGCCTAAGAGTGGTCATGGGTAGATGAACGGACGGATGGACAGACGGACATGGCTTAATCGACTTCGCTGTTGATACTGATTAAGAATATATACACTTCATAAGGTCGGAATCGCATCCTTCTACCTGTTACAACAACTACTTTTCAAAGAACCTATATACACTTTAACTCTACGAATAACGGGTATAATAACTGTTATAAATCATCAACCATCACCTCTGAATTGATGCTTTTCATCTCTTTTGAAAACTATCGCCATGGAAATCTAAAGACCTAATCAAAAAGTTTTGCCACCCACATAAAATCATGATAAGGTTTCATGTTCTCTCTTATTTGGGTTAAAGTTAATTTTATGTAAATATTAGCTTGTTCTAGCTTACTTTTTAATATAGCTAGTTTATACGGGCGCTCCTCACCTGGCAACACTGTATATGCACCCGGCTATTCCCAATATACCAAAAAAATTATTAATATCTTTTCCAGTCTCTGGTTACACTTCCCGTGAGACACGCAGTCTTGCCCTTCAGCTATATTTAGAGCTGTGAAACTATCAATCGTGACGCAATTCGATATTGTCAATGGTTTCGGAAGCCCAATTCGATATTATCGATACTATCGTTTTTTAACAGCCGTTAGCGCGAGCAAAAAAAAAAGTCAGCGGAATTCAAATTTTTCCCGAAACCCACTTGTTTTTGTCCCACTTCACAGCAGAAGGTCGCTTCTCTTGCAATTATGCATATATTTATATAATTTCTTTAAGACCAGTACCATC